AAACCAAGGCCTTCTTCACTAAGTTCTTTGAATTTTTCCTTTCGTTGAAGCTTTGTGAGTGAAGCATGTAGGTTGAGGTAGTGCTCCCTTAATTTCCCGAGTGAGGAAAACTTCTCGTTTGGAGATTTGAAAAATCCAAGTCACTGAGTGGTCGTGAGACTTCCGAGTATCAAGGTGCAGTAGCATATAGTAGGAGTCCCCCAAGTCTCCGGTCGAGGGAGTTGACGAATGAGGCATATCCTTTCTAAGTGGTGGCCCAAAACTCCTTCTTCTTATATATTTGTTATGAAAGTTGTTAGGCCCAAAGAAGAGAAGGCCTAGGCAATTTTTTTTTTCGATTTTTCTTTTTTTTTTCGAATTTTCGAATTTTCGAATTTTTTAATTTTTCGAATTTTCGAATTTTTGAATTTTCGAATTTCTGAAAAAAAAATGAAATATATATATATATATATATATATTTTAAAGCTTTGTAGGTGAACCTTTGGTGTTGAAACTTGGTAGGTGAAGCTTTGAGGTTGAAGCTTTGTTGGGCACCATGAATAGATTATGCTTCACACTATCTTCTTGTCGTAGCGTTGAGCTTCCGATAGTTAATACAAACTTTCCATCCGGTTTGGATTCGGGTTGGCACAAGCTCATTATCTTCATTTTTTACCACAGCGACTCCAGACTTCTTAGGAACAACTTGGACCAGCGAGACCCAATGGCTATCAGAAATTGGGTAAATCACTCCACAATCTAGTAGCTTGATGATTTCTTTCTTCACAACGTCCATCATGGGTGGATTGAGTTGGCGTTGTGCTTCTCTAGATGGTTTGACTCATTCTTCCAAGACTATTCGATGCATGCTAGCGGTAGGGCTAATTCCTTTGATATCGGCCAATGTCCACCTAATGGCGGTTTTGTATTCCCGAAGCACCCTCACCAACTTGTCCTCCTCTTGTGCAGTGAGTGAAGAAGAGATGATGACGGGTAGCGTCTCTTGTTCTCCCAAAAACACATATTTCAAATGGCTAGGCAATGGTTTAAGCTCTAGGGAAGGTGGCTGGATTACAGAAGGAAGCAACTTGTTAGTCAAAATGGGAATTTAAATTAGGTTAGGAGACTTACCAATATGCCTTGGATTTGACTCTAGGGCAGCAACCATCTTCACCAATTCTTCTTGAATAGGCACGGCAAGGTGTTCCTTGTTGTTGTCGTGGGCATGCCTAAGTGCTAACCCTTCGTTTTTGAGTCCAATGCTTTGAGTGAGAGTCTTTTCAAGTGCATCCTCAATCAAATCATCAAGGAATTCCTGCGCCAAAGAGTCAATCACATCAATAGAGAAACAAGAGTGACCATCATGGGGATATCTCATAGCATCAGAAATATTGAAATCAATAACTTCCCCATCAAATTCCATGGTCAATGTTCCATTGAATACGTCTATCTTTGTACGGGCAATCTTCATGAGTGGTCGGCCAAGTAAGATTGGTATTTGAGGGGAATGGTTTGAGTCTTCCATTTCAAGCATGTAGAAGTCCGCCGGAAAGACTAGGTGATTCACCTACACTAAAACATCCTCCAAAACACCTTTTGGATACGCATTAGATCTATCGACCAGTTGAATGATCACTTCATCATTTTTTAATTCTCCCAAGTTCATAGATGCATATATTGAATAAGGCATGACATTTATTGATGCACCTAGATCTAACATGGCAGATTCAAAGTGAGTATTTCCTATAACACAAGGAATTGTAAACTGCCGGGATCTTTGCACTTAGAAGGTAATTTTCGTTGCAACACGGCTGAGACATTCTCACTTACCTTTACCACCTCTTTGTTCGAACCCTCTTCCTTGTAGTGCACGGCTCCTTCAGGAACTTAGCATACTTGGGGACTTGTTTAATTGCATCTAGAAGTGGAATGTTGACTTGCACCTTTCTGAATGTGTCAAGGATGTCTTTGTCACTCTCATCCTTCTTTGATTGTACAAACCTGCGAAGAAAGGGTGCATTGGGTGGAATGGAATTAGAAGTCATGGAATTTGAACCCAACTTACCTTTGGTGGTCGAATTAGGGTGTGTAGGTGGCTGCGGCAAAGATTGCTTAATCCTTGTAGAGGGCAGGCCTTGTTCCTTCTCTTCAAATTGCATCTTTTCGTCCTCCTTTTGATTGGATTTAGATGGGTTGGGATCAGATCCAACTTCTTTTCCACTTCGCAAGGTGATGGCTATGCAGATTCAAAGCCTCCCTTTGGATTCACATCCGTCGAACTAGGTAACTTACCTTGTTCTCTATTAAATTGCCCCATGAATTCAGCCATTTGTCCCACCTATCTCTTTAAGCAGTCACCTATCGAGCTTGATTTTGCACTTCCTTGGCGTAATTGTGCATATCTTTGGCTTGATTTTCCTGACCCTTTGCCAGCGTAGTTAGTAACTGAATAACTTGAGCATTATCAAAAGACGAACCTGAGTTATTTTGGGCAGGTTGTGTTTAGGGTTGTGCTGGTGCATACGGCATTCGATAGAATCCCAGAGGTTGCTGTCTGAATGCACTCTGTTGTTGGGTTTGTTGGGGCTCCCTCCATTTGAAATTTGGATGATCTTTCCAACATGGATTGTATATATTAGAGAACGGATCATTCCTTGGTTGATTTTGACTCCCAAAACCCACGGCATTGGCAGATTCCCACCCTCCATTTTCGATCAATTGAGGGCACTTATCCATGAGGTGTCCTTGCATTGAGCACACGCCACAAGCAGCTACACTTTGTTCTTTTGGTTTTTCAACCACCTGTGAAAGAAGAGTAGTAAGATTAGCCATTTGATTTTGAAGTTCAGAAATAGCACTTACCTCATTAACTTGCTGCCATGGGTTGTCTCTTTGACCAACGCCTTCATATTGTTGAGCATTCAATGCTCGGTTAGCAATTAAGGTCTTAGCAGCCATGGGTATTTTGTCCACCAAAGCTCCTCCCGCTGAGGCGTTTAGCATTTGGCGTTCAATTGGTAGAAGCTCTTCGTAGAAATATTGAAGAATAAGCTCTTCCTTTATTTGATGTTATGGACATGAAGCAACAAGGGTTTTAAAACGTTCATAATAAGTGGGAAAAGATTCACCTTGGTTTTGCTGAATGCCACTAATCCTTTTGCGTAGTAGAATGACTCGAGAAGTTGGGAAAAACTTCTCCAAAAATGCCCGTTTCATACTTTCCCATGATGTGACAGTTCCGGGGGCTAGTTCATACAACCAATCTTTAACCTTTTCCAAGAGAGAAAGGGGAAAACCTTCATTTTCAGAATGCTCCCATCAACATTCACAGGGGTCATGATCGAACAAACAACCTCGAACTCCTTCAAATGTTTCTTAGGATCTTCCATGGACAACCCATGGAACTTAGGAATATGGTGCAATAAACTGGACTTTAATTTGAACTCGTCGGTCTTGTTTTGGGCTGCCCTTGGATATTGAATGCATAAAGGCAGAGCATTGTCAATCCCGAAGCGGAAAGCTCCTTGATTGTTTGATTGTCTACTACCATATCTTGGACTTCTTCAAAAGTTCTTGTCGTTCCCTCCTTTTGCTCTTCTACTTTGTCTTCTTCAAGATCTGCTACAGGTTGAAGTGGTTGGGGTTCTTGTTGATTCCTTGCTCGTCTCAAAGTTCGTTCAAAATCGTCGTCAAAGTCAAGGATGTGCTTATGAACAGGTTGAGAACTTCGAGTCATAAACCACCTAAAACAAGAAAGCAAGTAAAGTCAGCAACTAGGAACAAAAACACATGAAAATAAACAAAAAGAAATAACAAGGGATTAGCAAAATTGATGCGAAAATTAACTTAACACACAAATTAAACCCTCTTTTGACAATTGTAGTATATGCATAAGTAGGGATCGTTTTGGACCGGGGATTAGGAGGGCTTGCTAATAACCTCTAAACTGATTCAAAAACAAAAAAAAACAAAGTTAAAAACGTTTGAATAGACTTAAAGGACTCAAAACAGGTTCAAAAGACTTAAAACAACTTAAAAACACTCAAAACTGCCTAAAAACACTTGTTGGGCAGTTTCTGACTGTAAAGACAACTTTGAACGAAAATTGGGTTTTGGCTTCACCTAAAACAATCTTAAACACAAACAAAACAGATTTGAAACACTTTGAAACAAGAAACTAAAAGGGGGGTCTTGATTTGGATGAAGTTGAAATAGACAAACAAGTATGAAAAACTAGACAGATTGTAAAACGAATTTGAGAAATCAGATGATGGATGGGATAGCTAGAGGCTTTTTCTCCACACATGACATGTATGCAAACAACTCGATTTCCAGTTACTACTTCATTGAATTATGAACAGCAATGCCCCAAATTAACTGTGACATCACTAGTTAACCCTCAGATTTTCCTTGTTTTATTGGAATGGATGACATCATTCGACAACCCAAAACATTCTTCAAAAGTTCCCTACATGACATCATAATAGAGATACAATAAAAAATCATTACGTTTAATGAAAATTGTTTATACCATATTTAGGGCCTCGTATAAATACTCGAGGGACTTAAATGTAATTATGTAATAAAGGAAGGGGATGTAATTAGGGGAGGAGCCCTTATTCTATAAAAAGGCATCCTCACCCTCACAAACCCTAAGCTTCCTCACACCCCCTAAGCTCTAAGCTCTCTCTCTCCCTCTTCAACAGAGAAATACAATACAATCAGTGTGGACGTAGCCCAAACCTTGGGGTGAACCATGATACATCTTGTGTTATTTACATTACTTGCAGATTCACGGTCGGATTTACGTTGTTCCAAGACCATTCGGTTTTGTGCATCAACATTTGGTGCCGTCTGTGGGAAACGACACAAAAAGTTATGTCGTATCTCTCAATCTTTCACCTCCTCCTCCGTGGATCTGCAAAATTTGACAAAACCCAAAAGAAAAAAAAAATCACAACAAAATCTCCCCAAAATCCAAACACCACTAATCATTTTCCAAACCCACCTTCGTGAATCCATCAGAAAACGACATGTCTTTCAAAAGCCCAAGCATACTCCTCGCAAAGCTTCTGTTCTTCCTCAGGCGTGTAATCACTCTCGACGCCGAACAACTTCCTCATATGCTCGACGTTCTTGTTCTTGATTCGATCCGCCACTGTCTGGTTCAGCACTTCCAGCAATAGATCGACGTGCAGAAGTCGGCAGCCAAGATCAGCTCCATCACGCGAGGTTGGGTTTTTGGTACAGAAATCGATGATGTTCACGAGCTCCGCGCTGTGCACGTTCGGCACTGGCATCACCATGTCGCCGACTCCCTCTGCTCCCTCTGCTCCCTCTTCTCCCATGTCTCTCAGCCATGGCGAGATGGGAACCACCTAATTCACCAGATCTGAGCCCGACCTCACCAGATCACGCCCCCAGAGAACCCTAAAATTCTCTGTCTTTCTCTCTCTCCCCCGCAACCCCGTTTCTCTCTCCTCAATTTTGGCACAGGTCAGAGAGCGGTGGGAGGTCCATTTCTCTCCTTTCTTCCCTTAAATATACGGGCAGCATGATCAATTGTATCAGAGGCGGTGAATCTCAACTCCTATGTCATGCCTCCAAGTTTCACTTCATGGCTTGGGAACTCTCAATCTGTTTTTGAACAAGTAGCAACACAAGAAGTCATTTCACTGGAAGCCAATCTAATATCCCAACTCGCGAGTTACAGGGAAGATGCTTCATTCAAAGCCGATGCGAACCCCAAGAGCGATACTTTGACGCTTGAGAAAGTGAGAGATGCGAACACCATAATTTGCAAGCTGATTCAGAGAGCAAACTTCCTTTTGAAATCTCCAGTGGAAGACGAGAAAACGGTTCCATTGTTTTCTGGTTCTCTGCTTCAGTTCGTTGTTAAGGAAACCAAAGCCCTCCAAATCCAAGGTTGGTAGAAGACCACCTCACCAAACTCAACTCGTAGGACCCAAAGTGATAGGAGCATTTTTATGCGACTTAATTGGCTTGTTCTCATGCATTTATGTTATTTTTCCTTAGTTAGTTTAGTGTTTAAAGTCATTTTCGTGCAATTTCAGGTTTTATTGTCAAAGTATGCAAAAAGGAGCAATTTGGAACATTCTAGAGCATTTTTGGGCCAAGATTGGATTGTGCAAGCATGGAGGCATGAGGAGGGATGAATTTGAAGACAAAAGAGGCTATGACATGCTAAAAATCTGGTGAAACAAATACAAGTTGCAAGAAGGGATAAATTTCTAGAAGGATTGACCAAAACTTCACTCAAAACCAAGAAATTCTTCAATGCTGTGGGCATTGATTCACTTTCACCAGAAATTTGAGTGATGATGCAATGCTTAAATCACCATGACATGTGAGTGGATGATGCAATGCTTAAATCACCATGACATGTGAGTGGATGATGCAATGCTTAACTCATCATGACATGTGAATGGATGACTCAATACCTAACCCACCAACAATTCCCACTCTTGCCGTGCTCACCTACTCAATTCCACCAGAATTTTGTGTTAAACAAGTCCATCATTTTCCTATAAATACCATGGCAGCAACCTCATTCAAATCATCCAGAAATTAACCATTCTCCAAAGCCTTGCCTTGCCTCTCCCTACATATCTAAACTCCTTCCCATCCATTCCTCCACATAACCAACCCTTCAAAACATCACTCCAACCTTGTGTTGCAACAAAGAAGAAGAGGAAAGTTCTTGTACGTGCTTGCTATCCAACATGGATCGTTGGAACGTTTAGGTGTTTTCTTTCTTTTGTTTTTCAATGTATAATTCTATTTATCTTTGTTTTGTGAACATGAGGAACTAAACCCCTATTTAGTTAGGGGGAAGTTTGAAGCCATGAACATGCTTGTGATATGAATTGATTTCTTCCAATTGTGATTTCATAAGTTGTGATTGCAATTCAATTATCTATTTTCTTCATAACTGATTCTTGTATGTTTATTAAAGATGCATACTTAGTTTTCATACATGAATTAGATGCTAGAATATAAATGAGTTTCACCTAATTGTTACAAGTTTATATTCATGAGTAGTGAAGGTTGCTTGTCACAATCGCGTTAATTGAATTCTTGACAAACGTATCATGCATTCATAGTTACAATTGCCTCGTCAACACTTATGATTTTCATTGAACGTAATGATCTCTGATTGTATCTCTATTATTCATTCATATAGGGGACTTTTAGAGAATAATTTGGATTGTCGCATGCATTCATTCCAATTCAATAAGTAAAGGAAAATCTGAGAGGTTAATTTGTGCATCACGGTCAATCTGGGGTGTTGAGCATCAAGTTTATTGAAAAGCAATTGGAAATCGATTCATGTACAAGTGTGTCATGTGTGAAGAACGGACCTCTAACTAATCCATCCATCATCTTATTTCTCAAATTCGTTTTATAATCTGCCTACTTAAAAATCTATTTAAGTTTTAGTTTATTTGTTTTACTTTCAACTTCACCAAACCCAAATCCCCCTTTTACTTTCTTGTTTTAAAAGTCTTTGGTTTACATTTTTAACTTTGTTTCTTTTTGTTTTTGAGTCAGTTTAGAGGTTTTAGCAAGCCCTCCTAATCCCCGGTTTAGAACGATACCCTACTTACATCTATATTACAATTGTCAAAAAGAGGGTTTAATTTGTGTGCTTATAATATTTCGCATCAAATTTTGGCGCCGTTGTCGGGGATTAGCAACTTTGCTAAATCCCCATTGTTTCTTTTTATTTCTTTTTTTTTGTGTGTTTTAATTTTAGTTTTAACTTTATTTGATTTTGTTTATTTCAGGTACTAGTTTATGACTCGTAGTTCTCAACCAGTTCGTGCACATATATCGGAGTTTGACGACAATTTTGAACGAACTTTGAGAAGGAAAAAGGAAGTACCAGAACCTAATCACCTAGTTCTAGTTCTGAATCCGAATTTGAAGAAAAGGAGGAGGCAGAAAAAGACATGGAGGTGGACAATCGAACAATCAAAGAACTTTCAGCCTCAGGATGGACAATGCCGCGCCTCTATGTATCCAATACCCCGCAGCAGCCCGAGAACAGAAGAATTTGAATTAAAGTCAAGCTTGTTACACCACATTCCGAAGTACCATGGTTGTCCATGGAAGATCCTAACAAACACTTGAAAAGAATTCGAGGTGGTGTGTTCGAGCATGACCCCCGTCAATGTCGATGGGAGTATTTTGAAGATGAAAGCCTTCCCTTTTCCTTTCTTGGAAAAGGCGAAGGATTGGTTGTACGAATTGGCGCCCGAAACCGTCACATCATGGGAAAGCATGAAACGGGCCTTCTTGGAGAAGTTTTTCCCAACTTCTCGAGTCATCCTCCTACGGAAAAGGATAAGTGGAATTCAACAAGAGGAAGGTGAATCTTTTCCTACTTATTATGAACGTTTTAAATCTCTGTTGCTTCTTGTCCACAGCATCAGATGAAGGAGGAACTCTTTTTTGCAATACTTCTACGAGGGGCTACTACCTATCGAACGTCAAATGCTAGATGCCTCGGCGGGAGGAGCCTTGGTGGACAAGACCTCCACGGCAGCAAAGACTTTAATTTCCAACCGTGCGTTGAATGCTCAACAATACGAAGGCGTTGGACAAAGGAGTAACCACGACCACATCAAGTCATTGAGGTAAGTGCCATAACCGAACTTCAAATCAAATGGCTAACCTTACTACTTTGCTTTCTCAGGTAGTGGAAGGTCCAAAAGTGCAAAACGTGCAGCTTGTGGCGTGTTCCATGCAAGCCACCTTACGGACAAGTGCCCACAGTTGATAGAAAATTGAGGTGGGAGACCCTCAATGCCGTGGGATTGGCAACCAATACCAACAAAGGAATGACCCCTTTTCCAATACTTACAATCCCGGTTGGCGTGATCATCCAAATTTCAAATGGCGAGAACCCCAACAAGGCCAAACAACAAAGCGATTAGGCAACAACCCCCCGGGTTTCTATCAAAAGCCGTTTGCACCAACTCAACCCCAAGCACAACCTGCCCAAAAATCAGGTTCGTCTATTGATAATGATCAAATTTTTAATTTACTAACTTCTATGGCGCAGGAATGCAAAATAGGGACAAAAAGGTGGACGAGTTGGAGAAACAAGTAGGGCAAATTGCCGAGTTCATGGGGCAGTTTGAGAGCAAGGCAGGTTGCCTAGCTCAACCATTGCAAATCCAAAAGGAGGCTTTGAATCTGCCAAGGCAATCATGTTAAGAAGCGGGAAACAAGTTGGAACAGCCCACCACCATCCAAATCAGCCCCAAACAAGGTGGAGGAAGTGATAATTGAAGGGAGGAACAAGGGGGCCACGGCAAGGAAAAAGGTTCCTTTTGCCGCAAGTCTCCATGGCTCCTAGCCATCCAATCTGCCAAATAAAGGTACAACCATGTCCAATTCCATCCTACTAATGATTTTCCTTTGAATGTCCCTTTCCTAGTAGGTTCCAAGCAAACAAAGAAAGAACAAGCTGAAAAGGACATTCTAGAGACGTTCCGGAAAGTGCAAGTCAATATTACCTCTCCTTGACGCAATTAAGCAATACCTAGGTATGCCAAGTTTTTGAAGGAACTATGTACAATAAGAAAGAGAATTTCAAACAAAGAGGAGTTGTCCAGGTAAGTGAGAATGTTTCCGCTGTTTTGCGAAGAAAATTACCTCCTAAATGCAAAGATCCGGGAAGTTTTTACAATTCCATGTTATAGGCAATACCAAATTTGAACATGCTATGTTAGATCTAGGAGCCTCAATTAACTCATGCCATACTCAATTTATGCATCAATGAACTTAGAGAACTTAAAAACGATGGTGTTATAATTCAATTAGCCGATCGTTCTAATGCATATCCGAAAGGAGTTTTGGAGGATGTATTGTGCAGGTGGATAACTGATATTTCCAGCGGATTTCTACGTTTTAGAGATGGAGGACTCACCAAATGTCACCCCATTGCCAATTCTACTTGGGAGGCCATTCATGAAACAGCACCGCCAAGATCGATTGTGTTCAAAGGGACGTTGACAATGGAATTTGATGGGGAGATTATTAACTTTAACATTTCTGAAGCTATGAAATTTCCTAAAGATGATCATTCTGTTTTTCTATTTGGATATATTGGATGAATGGCGCAGGATTATCTTGATAGTTGGAAGACGATCCACTCGAAACGACAATTGCACAAGGATTGGCAAAAACCCAACATGGCCGTACCAAATGATGAACATGCCGAGCTTGTGGCTGCCTTGGAATCATTACCAAAACATCATGGTAAGCCGTCTAACCCAATTCAATTCCCGTTTCCACTAATACTTGTTACCTTCTGTGA